CAGGTATCCTGGCCAAGCTCTAGGTGTTCAAGGCCAAATACCAGGTGTCTCAAGGTATGACAGATGTCCCACACTTATCTAACACGTACACTCACGATGTGCATTTGAAACCTTTATAAAGGTCAAAATATCATTCAATTCATACTTTATGCTTCATTGAATTCTCACCTACCCCTTGGACAACTGAATGCATTGACTTGATCGTCGGAGTTACAAGCTTGGGATGTCACATCGGGCCCTCTAACCTTCCTTCTTCCTTTGTAGTCAATTTTCGAGCTGCTTCAAGGACCTTGATGACTTTTGATGACATCGATAAGTAGTTACGAATGTCAAATATAATGGGTCAAACCCAATTATTCCGATTAAGAATTAGTTCGGTCCCATGTCTATCTTACAAGAAGTTCAGGACTTGTACATTCTGTCCTCAACCAGACCCGACCTATTGAGAGTGCGGATTTAAATTTCATGTAGTCATCCTATAGGCTACATTTGGTTTGAAGTAAAAGGTAGGGAAATGAAGGGGAATGTCTGGAAACCTTTACAAACTTTGTATAAATTTCTCTAGCTTTCCCTTCCTTTCCCTATATTTTCCTTCAAACCAGCCATAAAGATTGATTCAAATCGGGATTCACCTACATCAATTAATCTGATTCAAAATTTGATCATATCTGTAAGTAGGTCTATTCATTTTTCTGTTTTTTTTTTTTTTGAATTAGCAAATTAAAAATTAAAAAACTAAACATGTATCTATTTAAACTCACTTACAACCAATTCACTTTCCTTTTTAATTGGGAAATTAAATGTAATCACTCCGCTATGGAACATGGGCAATTGGGCATCTTTTAACAACAGCACCTGCAATGCACGTGCAACCCACGTGTCTCTTCTAGTATTTAAGATTTATAATATTTTATGATGTATAATATATAGTACATGTATAAAACATGTTATAATTTATGTAAGTATAAAATATTGTATATACATATATTATGTATCATTTTATAATATTTATACATGCAATATATCATATTATATAAAATAATATATATATATATATATATATTTATGTATATATGAAATACTTTTATGTCAATTATAAATATATTATGGGCTAGGCTAGATTGAAAATGATCATCCCTAGATCTAGGGGTCTTAGATTTGAATTTAATTTGAGTATGTTTTTTTTTATAAAAAAAATTAAAACTAAAAACTGTTAATCCCATCTAACTTATATATACATATTAAAGATATCCAAATTTGAAATAATGAATTTTTAGTTTTAAATTTTATATAATCATATATACCCAGGTATGACGTTGATTAGTATCCTACAACATGCCCAAACGATAGTAAAAAAAAAATAAAAAAACAAATGAACACATTCATGCATGTGCACCCTAGCAATAGAATCTAGAAAACCCTAAGCATAGTCATTTATTTTATTCATAAGTTTATATGAATAAGTATCTATCAATCCGACATTTTTTTGTCCATTATTAGTAGGTGGTATATTTGGTTTTTATTTTTTTAAATTATAAAATATTAAGGATGTGATAGGTGGGTCGAAGCCTTTCCGGTATCATCAATTCATAAAATGGTGGCAAATCATGTGGATTTTGATTGGTCGAAGTTCTTTCGGTATCATATCTTCCTGGTCTTATGTACCTGTTAAATTTTCTTGATAACTTTATTGATACCGGAAAAACTTACCTGTGATTAGACCTGTTTATGGGCCGGGCTCGGGCCGGGCTCGGTCCAGGCTTTGACTCTTTATTAACAGAAAAATGTTAGGCCCGAGCCCGAGCCCGGCCCGACCAACGGGCCTACAACTTGGGCCCGAGCCCGGCCCTGATGAAAAGCCCGAAGCCCAAGCCCGAGCCCGAAGCCCAACCTAATAAAAGAAATTCAAAATTTTCCGACATTTTCTATTTTAATTTAAATGTTTTTTCCCCTATTTAAATGAACAATGGGTCTACAAGTGAATCAATGACCTCAAATCAAAACATTTATTCAAATAGACATCACATAGGGTTTTTACTTAGGTTTAACTATAGGTCGGGCCGAATTTACTTAAGTTTAACTATAAGTCGGGCCGGGCCGGGCTCGGGCCGGGCTATTTTGGCACAGCCCGAGCCTGGCTCGAATTTTATGCGGGCCGGGCTTTTTGGCCCGAGGTTAAGCCCGCGGGCCAAAAATTCTGTTCAAGCCCGTCCGGGGGTCAGGCCACCCGGCCCATGAACAGGTCTACCTGTGATTAAAGCCAACCACACAGATGTGGGCTGCAAATTCACTGCGGGTAGAGAATGGGTAGGAAATTCCATTTAGCCTTGAGGTGACTTCTTTATTTCTAACAGAAGCCTATCAATTGCAGACACTTGAAAAACATGGGGATCTCCGACGCCGGAGAAGTTCTGGATGCAAACTCGGTGAATTACGACCGAATGAAAGAGCTCAAAGCTTTTGATGACTCGAAAGCTGGTGTCAAAGGACTTGTGGATGCTGGGGTGGAAAAGATTCCCCGGATCTTTGTCCGACCACCCCATGAGCTTAACGAGAGCTTGAATACGAATAGTGATGAAGACTTGGAGTTTCCTGTTATAGACCTCCAAGGGTTCGAGGAGGACCCTAGACGAAAGGAGATCGTTGACAGAATTAGGCTTGCGGCAAATACATGGGGTTTCTTTCAGGTGGTCAATCATGGCATCCCCATAAATATCTTGGACGAGATGTGGCAGGGGGTTCACTGGTTCCATGAACAACCCCAGGAGCTGAAGATGGAGCTCTACTCGCGTGAGCTCATGAGACGACTCAAGTACAACAGCAATTTTGATTTGTACAAGTCGACCGCTGCTAACTGGAGAGATACTTTGTTCTGTGTTATGGGTCCTGATCCTCTCGATCCCCATGAATTGCCCGCTGTATGCAGGTAATTGCCTGCTAATTTCCATGGAAATTTTACTAGTTCGACTCGACACGATTGAACTTGCAATTTTTTGAACTGACTTGGTCTAGAAAGTAGAAATTCTTTTTGTACTAATTCCTCACCTCAGTATCAATCAAAAACCATCTTCAGGAGGAATCTGTTTGTGTAATTTGCAGAGATATAACGATCCAATACTCGGAGCAAATTAGGAGATTGGGGATTTTTTATTTGAGCTATTATCAGAGGCTCTTGGTCTCAGGCCTGACTACCTCAAAGACATGGATTGTGCCAAGGGGCATTGATGATGTGCGATCCGGCCGGTCCCAGTTGTCGGTGGCCTTGCCTATGTCGAAATTGGAGATGCCTGAAACAAGGAAGAAAACGGAGACTTCCGGGGAGGAACCTGGTTGGAAGACTCCGAAGCTCAAGTTAGTGCTCTTGAGAAGGCAAGGGAAATGAGGAACTTCAAGACTATAAAGCACAGAAATCACATACCTCTTTCTTTGGGAGATGGGGGCCTTTTATAATTACCCTGTACACTCACTCCCATACCTCTGCCAGATCAGGCATCATCACCTCCGCCAGATCGGGTATCATCATTTCTGCCAGACGCCAGTTCAGGTGTCATAACCTCTGCCAGTTGCCAGTTCGGGTGTCATAGCCTCTGCCAGTTGCCAGTTCGGGTGTCATAGCCTCTGCCAATTTCCAGTTCGGGTGTCATAACCGCCACTGTCCTTGTCAGGGCCGTTTCTGCTACGTCTGAGATGGCGGTGGCAGGTGGCCGTTGGAGGGCGGCTGTCATGTGTCGGACCTCTAATCGGTCAGGCGCGCCGCCTCCGTGTACGGGCTTCCTGGGTGTCRGGTACGGTTGTTCAGTCAGGCGACTTGGAGCCGAAGTGGTGTGCAAGGTGAAGTCTTGAGTTTGGATATGAGTGTGGCCCGAACTGCCCCGGGGTGGGTCAACTTGGGTTTTTGCCCTTTGCGCTCCTTGTAAGGCTCAGGACCTCCAAGGGAGAGCTCGGGTTGCTGGTTCCTTTCTTGGGGGAGCTCGGGACTCCCTTTCTCGGAGCTCGGGTTGTGGGCCCGCTGCCGTGCCGAGCTGGCGCTTCTGGCAGGTCACTCTCAGTTGCTTCCACGTGTTGTGTGGCCAAGGGGTCGGGCCAAATCTTCCTCCATCAATTGCCCCCCACTCCTTGTGCCCGGGGTCTTGACCCGGCGTGGGGAGTTCACGGGATGACGGGTGGATTTGCCTTGTGACGCTTTGGCCTTGGTTTGGAGCTTCTTCGGTCTGACCTGCTTGTGTTTTTGGCCCGATCAGGGTTGGCTTGGTTCGACCAGGGGCCAATCCCAGGTTGCGTGCAGCTCACGCGCGGGCGCCAAACGATTTTAAATTTTCGAATGTCGAAAAATGCGTGCTAAACTGACTTCTCCTCGGGGGGTGCGCAACCAGTTTTGCGGGGAGCCATTGGATGGTTTTGATCTTGGTCGTTGATGCACGAGTACAATGGTTATAAATAGTGGGGGGCCCCTGGTCACTTTCCTTCGCCATTCTTTAGCATTCATTTCTTGAGCTCATGTCCAAGGCTGTCAGCTCGCGTCGTTTTTTGTAGTCCGATAACTTTTCCTGGTGAGTCCTTAGCTCTCTTTTTGATTCAATGTCCAGCTCGGGTAGCTTAGATAGTCTTCTGGGGGGGTCAGATGCTGGTTCTACAAATCGAGCTGCTGCCCCTAACAGCCTTAGTGAGTCCGAGGCGGGGCCCGAAGTAGAGCTCGAGTTCGAGCCCATAGGCCGAGTCACCTCGGGTAGCTTGGCATCCACCTCCCGTCGAGGTCGGGTGCCAGACAAGTTCGGGCCTTCCACTATGACGCCCGAGGGGCTTTGGTCCCTTGTCGCTCAGTACAACTTGCCCGGGGAGTATACTTACATTTTACCCTCGGGCGACTTCCCTTGGGAGCACGGTCCGGACGAGATCGTGATATTCCAGGAGCAGATTGTTGCCGGGCTGCGCCTTCCTTTCCACCCTCTCATCGTCGAGGTCATGAATCACTTCGGCGTTACTGTTGGTCAGCTCCACCCGAACTCTATTCGCAACCTTGTCGGGACCATCTCCCTTTGTTGCGAACACTGCCTTCCCTTGGACCTGGAAATCTTTTCCGCCAATCTTATGCTCAAGAAACAAGCGGGTCCCCTGCTCGGGCGTAGGCGGGCCTACTACTTGTCACCTCGTCCGAGGTTCAAGCTCTTGTACGATCTTCCAAATAAGGTCCCAGCATGGAAGCGAGACTACTTTGTGGTTCGAAGCGCCATGGGATGGCCGTTTCCTACCGAGTGGGGATTGGTTGTTCTTGACCCCGATGCCACGTTAGATGAAGAAACGGTGAAGGGCCTCCAGGACTGGGCCCGGCTTGGACTCAAATGCGAAGTCTACCTGACGGAGGCCAAGCTTATTCAGACCGGTCTGAGTTCGGGTAGGTTTCTTGTTCAGAGGCTTGCTTTTGCTTTGTTTTTATTCCCGTCTTTTGACGCCGAGCTCCTTTTTGCAGGTGTTATGGAGGCAGAGAAGACTCGAGGTGTGAACTTGTTTGATGGTATGAGGAGGAAGCGAGCTGCTAAGCGTGTCCGTGCTGATGCTTCCCGGGTTGCGGAGCCCGAGGCACTTAGAATGGAGCCTCCTAGGGAGCCCGAGGTGGCCCCTCCATTTCAGGAAGCGGCATGGGTCCCCTATGCCGAAACAGCTTATACCCGAGTTGTGCCTTCGGGCTCGGGAAGTCAGGATGAGGTTGGGAGCGTGCTAACGCCGAGCTACACTCTCCGAAAAAGTAAGAAGGCTACTTGCCCTGAGGAGGTCACGGCGTTGGCCGATCTTCCTACGAATCTCATAGGCGCTCGTGCTGCATCTCACGCCATGGTGGTAAGTCGGAGTAGTGTTTTTTTTTACCGAGCTGATTTGTTCTCGTTCTGGCAGGTGAACTCCTCTATCCACGCTTTGGCAATCCAGGCGGAGAGGGTCTTGAAGCGAGCACAAGCTTCCGAAGTGGCTTCCCGTGTTGTGCGGGCCAAGCTAATGAGGTCTTGGAGGGACAAAGAGGCCTTAGGAATGGTGGTGAGACACATGGCGGACCTGAGGCTGGACCTGGAGCATCAGGTCGAGTACCTTCAGGATGATATAGGGAGAAGACAGAGATCTTTTCTCAGGCCGTCGAGGAGGCGAAGGTGAAGGCTGTTAATGATTATATCGCTTCACCGCGCTTTGACGACATGATGGTGGGCTCATACAGAAGGGGTTTCAAAAGGAACACGTACCCCGAGCTTGACATTAGTGCCATAACCACTTCGCACATCACTCCAGAAATGGCTGCTGCGGCTGATGATGACGTGGATTCTGAAGACGAAGCAGGACCTTCGGGTATTGTCGAAGTTCCTTCTAAAGGCGAGGAAGATGTACCTCCAGGCCTGTGAGTTCGTTGCCGTTGTTTTTTTGTTGTTTTGTTTTTTTTTTTGAACACTGTAAAGCAAACATTTAGCAATGAAGTACTTTCTGTTTAAGTGTTGTGCAAATATTCTCCTTTTGCCGAAGTGACTATATTGCTGAGCTGCATGGAATTAGGTCCCCGAAACGAGGGGATTCCTTGAGGCGGGCTAACATAGAAAGGCTATATGCCCGATCTGTTCTCCGCCTGGGTAAAGGAAATATTGGTTCAGTAGGCCTGGCTAGGAGCGTGCTATACACCCCGGGTTTCATACCCGTGCTGCCTGCTCTCTTGGCATTAAAACTTAGTTTTTGTTCATGAGGCCCCGAGGTCATCCTCAACTCGGCGCTTTATCCCTTAGGATTTTTTCCTAGGTTTTTTGCCCATGCCGAAGAGGCGACTGGGTCTTGTAGTGTCGAGGTCTTTGTTACCTCGGTTTTCTGACCCTTAGGCTCTAGGAGCGGCTCACAGTTCGCCCAGTTCGGTGGCTTATAGGTAATATCGCCTTAGGTTGACGATGTTCCAAGCTCGGGGTATTTTTTTTACCCTCCAGGGTCTTGAGATCGTATGCTCCTCTGAGTGCTCGCTTTACTTGGTAGGGTCCTTCCCAATTCGGCCCGAGTTTGCCAACGCCGGGCTCGAGTACCATGACCTTGCGGAGAACCAGGTCGCCGACACGAAAGTTTCGTCTCTTAACTTTGGCGTTGTAGTACCCAGCTACCCTTTGCTGGTATGCCGCGGTCCTGATGTATGCGAGGTCCCTTACCTCGTCAAGTAGGTCGAGGTTGGTACGTAACTCGTCGTTATTAGTATTGTCGCTGTATGCTTCCAACCGAAGTGAGAGGATTTCGATTTCGGTTGGGATGACTGCCTCCGTGCCATAGGTGAGGTTGAAGAGAGTTTCTCCAGTGGCGGTCTTCTCTGTAGTTCGGTATGCTCATAGGACGCTGGGCAGCTCGTCTGCCCATAACCCTTTAGCTCGGTCTAGCCTGGCTTTTAGTCCGTAGAGGATAGCTCTGTTCGTGACTTTTGCCTGACTGTTTGCTTGTGGGTGCGCAACCGACGTGAAGTTTAGCCGGATCCCCATGTCCTGACACCACCCTTGGAATTTGATGTCCTCGAACTGCTTGCCATTGTCAGAGATCAGCACCCGAGGTAGACCGAAGCGGCACACTATGTTCTTCCAGAAGAAGTTTTGGACGTTTCGAGTTGTGATGGTTACGAGAGTTTCAACTTCAACCCACTTGGTGAAGTAGTCTACTGCCACTAGTAGAAACTTCCTTCCTCTTGTTGGTGGCGGGAATGGCCCGGGTAGGTCGATACCTCATTGTGCGAAGGGTTACGGGCTGGTGAGGTACTTGAGGTCGGCGGCGGGCTGGTGGTGAATATTGGCGTGCTTTTGGCACTTCTCGCACTTCCTGACTAGCCCGACGGCGTCTGCTTTCATTGTTGGCCAATAGTACCCCTGTCGTAGTGCTTTTTGGGCGATGACCCTGCCCCCCAGGTGTCCGCCACAGAGGCTTTCATGAATGTCGTCGAGTACGAGCTCGGCTTTGGGAGGTCGCAAGCAGCACAGGTAGGGGAGCGTGTAGGATCTTCGGTACAGCCGTCCGTCTATCATGATGTACTTGGCTACCTGACACTCTACCCTCCTGGCAGCGTTGCAGTCTGCGGGGAGGGTTCCATGTAGCAGGAAGTTTGCGAGTGGATCAATCCAGCTCGGTTTTGCTTGGGCGATAGGAGCGACCTCCTCTGCCCCCCGGAGAATGCTAGGCTGAGGTAAGTCCTCTATGTACACAGTTCTCATGGTGTTGTCACTGGTGCTGGCTAGCCGGGATAGGGCATCGGCCTCAGCATTCTCTGACCTCGGGATTTGCTTGATGAAATGTGACTGGAAGCTAAGCAGAGCCTCTTTTACCTTTGCCAAGTAAACGATCATAGTTAGCTCACGAGCTTCGTATTCCCCTGTAACTTGGTTTACCACAAGCTAGGAATCGCTGCAGATAACTATGTGTTTTGCCTTTACCTCTTGCGCCAGGGCTAGCCCGGCTATCAACGCCTCGTATTCTGCCTCATTGTTGGATCCCACGAACTCGAAGTGTAGCGCGTACTCCAGTTTCGTGCCACTCGGACCGTGGAGAACTACACCAGCTCCGCTGCCCTACTGATTTGAGGAGCCATCTACGTGAAGGATGCAGGGCTCTTCATCCCAGTTCACGCTTGGCCTAACCAGGAGAGATACCGAACTGGGTGCGACCTCACAGGGCTCGAACTCAACCGGCCTGGGAGCGTCGAGCTCACCCGAACTGGGAGCCTCGTGCTTAATCGGGCTGAGGACCTCGGAGCTAAACGTGCATTCTGCAACAAAATCCGCCAAGGCTTGAGCTTTGATAGCGGTTCGTGGCTTGTATTGGAGGTCGTACTCATTGAGTTCGATGGCCCACTTTGTCAATCAACTAGAGACCTCGGGCCTGAGTAATACTTGCCTCAAGGGTTTGTCGGTGAGGACGATGATGGTATGGGCTTGGAAATACGGACGGAGTTTGTGGGCCGCAATGACCAATGCATAGGCTAGCTTTTCTATCTCCGGATATCTTGTTTATGCTCCCTGCAATATTTTACTAACATATTAGATGGGTCGTTGGACTCGATCTGCTTCCTTTACCAGTACCGAACTGACCACTTCGTCGCTTGCCGAGAGGTATAGTTCTAAAACATCGCCCTCTTTGGGCCGGCCAATACTGTGATACTGGCGAGGTATTTTTTGAGCTCGTCAAATGTGAGCTGGCACTTCGGGTTCCACTCGAACCCTTTGCGTTTTATTGCTTTGAAGAAGGGCAGGCAGCAGTCTACTGACTTAGACATGAAACGASTCAGAGCGGCTATTCTGCCATTTAGCTTCTGAATCTCTTTCACTTTTCGGGGTGGTCTCATATCTAGGATGGCTTTTATCTTGTCCGGGTTTGCCTCAATACCGCGTCGATTGACGGTGTACCCTAGGAACTTACCCAAGGTGACACCGAAGACACACTTGTTTGGATTTAGTTTCATGCTAAATTGACGCAGAATTTGAAAGACAGAATGCAAGTCTTGTATTAATTCATGCAAGAATTGTGTCTTGACGACCATGTCGTCTACATAACATTCTATCTTTGTGCCAATTAAGGGTTGAAATAACTTATTCACAAGCCTTTGAATGGTTGCCCTAGTATTTTTTATTCTGAAGGGCATAACCTTGTAGCAGTACAGGCCGAACTCAGTTATGAAGGCGGTTTTTTCCTTGTCGGACGGGTCCATCTTGATTTGGTTGTAGCCCGAGTAGGCAACCAGAAGCTTAGCAACTCGTGTCCCGAGGTTGTGTCCACTAGGCGGTCAATTTTTGGGAGGGGGAAGCAATCTTTTGGGCAAGCTCGGTTTAGGTGGGTGTAGTCGATGCACATGCACCACTTGCCGTTTGCCTTTTTTACCAAAACAGGGTTGGCCACCTAGCTCGGGTAATGAACTTCCCTTATGAAGTCTGCTACGAGGAGCTTCTCGACCTCCTCATCGACCGTCCTTTAGCGTTTTGGGGCTAGGTTGCGTTTCTTCTATCTAATAGGCCTAACTACAGGGTCAGTATTCAGCTTGTGAGTTATAAGGTCGGGGTTTATACCGGGCATCTCTGCCGCGGACTCTGCAAAAACGTCTAAATTTTGGAGTAAGAAACTTACCAGTTTGGACCTCAAGGGTTCTTCTAGGGATGCTCCGACCTGGAGTAATTTGGCAGGGTCTTCTGCCGAAACAGAGATGGGAACGGTTTCCTCCGTTGGTGCAGCTCGCTCCTCGTTCTGTTCCACCGGTCGCTCCAGTTCGGGGTCGCCGGTTACCTTGGCCTTTCCCTTGAGTGCGGCAACGTAGCACTTATGGGACTCGAGCTGGTCACCCCGCACTACCCCGATGCCGAAGTCTGTTGGGAACTTCATGGCCAAATAGTAAATGGACACCACGACTTTTAAAGCGTGGGTGATTGGCCGACCTACTATGGCATTGTAGGGGGAGGGGGTCGCGACCACCAAGAAATCGTGACTGATTCTTACCGTGCTGGGCCACGTGCCGACTTCCACAGGTACTGTGACCTTTCCCAAGGGTCTGACCTCTTCTTCGCTGAAGCCGACCAGCGGGGTGTTCGCGGGCTTCAAGTCACTCTCTCAGAACTGGAGTTTGTCGAAGGCCGCTTTAAAAAGGATGTCTGCCGAACTGCCGGAGTCAACGAGTATGCACCAGACTTCGGAGTCGTTGATCTTTACCTTTATGACAAGTGCATCGTCGTGGGGGTAGTGGACCCTGTGCACATCGTCTTCGGTGAAGAATATGGGGTCTTTCGTCCTAGGTCGCTTTGGGGGATTTTGTTCTTCTCTGGTGGCCTCCCGGGTTGATGCCCGAGCTGTTGCCGAGGTGCATCCTGCTACGATCGATCCTCCAACGATCACGTGGATTGTTCCCCGAACTGGTCTTTCTTCCGGGGGCTGCTTCTGCGGTTCAGCTGGCCGGCTGCTGGATTCGGGAGCATCTCTGCTGTGCTCTCCCTGCCGACCTGTCTTATTACTGTTATTATTATTATTATTATGCTATACAAAATTTCTTAGGTACCTGCGACGGATAAGTTCTTCTATCTTGTCGCGGAGATTATTACAATGTTCGGTGCTATGACCGTGGTCTCTATGGAAACTGTAGTACAAGTTTTTATTCCTTTCGTTCGGGTTTCCCTTCAGACGAGGTGGCCACTTCACATACGAGACGTCTTTGATCGTCATTAAGATCTTGGCCCGCTTCGCGTTTAAGGGCGTGTAGTCCGTCTGACCCGCTAAGGGAGCTCGGAACGGCTGGCTTGGCTTCGTCCCCCGAGGTGGGTCTTTCTTTCTCTTGTCATATGGGTTGGAGAGTTTGCCTTCCCTCTTCCTTTTTTCGATCCCGCTTTCAGTCCTTTGGTTGATCTCTTCCTCTGTTCTTATGAATTTGTCTGCGAGCTTGAGGAATTCGGCTACGGTCGCGGGCTGGTTGACTACCATGTGCCACCTGAATTCCTTGTGTGTCACACCCGTCTTGGTTGCTGCGAGCTGTACCATGGGGTCTAGGCGTGGTATCTACAAGCACGCGTCATTGAATCGTTTGATATAGCCCCGGATGGACTCTCCTTCCCTCTGGACTATTCTGAGGAGGCTCTCCTCGGTTCGGGGGCACCGCTTGCTAGTAACGAAGTGCACGGTGAAGACTTGCATGAACTGGGTCCAGCTTCTTATTGACCCGGGGGCCAGGTTCCTGTACCAGGTGCGGGCTACTCCCCTGAAGGTGATAG